AGATATAGATATAGATATAGATATAGATATAGATATAGATATATATATAGATATATATATCTATCTATCTATATATATATATAAAGATGTTGATGTAGATGTAGATATATATGTAGATATATATATATATATATATTATTATTTTTATTATTATTATAAATTTTATTATTATTTATTTTTGTTTTAGGACACATCCATTGATAATACCAGATTCGAGATATATACAGGTGTCTCTTAGCTGGGTATCATGGAGAATTAAGCACTTTCTACTTTAAGCCCTTTATGAAGTATACAAAGTTGTTCACCATACTCGAGTCGTTGCCACTTTGGTTATTTGCGGTCGTACCTCCCGGCAATTCAGCCAGAAAAATAAGACGCTGGTTCGGATCAGTCTTTAAATGACTTTTAAAGTCCGCGTCGTCATCCATTTGAACTACGGTTTTATCCACACTCGGCTTCATCTTGCCCTCCTCATCGTTGTAATCCGCACTGGCCAGCAGCTGGCCATAGGCCTTCTGTAGATTGTGCTCCTCAGATTTATCCAGGAAGTATAACAACTCAGTGATCATCTTATCGTGCTTGTGTGCCTGCTTAGAATCATAAGGTGGAGGTTGTCGCGTTGCGAACTGCGCTCGATAGCCCAACTTGTTGTCCAGCGGTGTTAGACTCACGCGATACCAATGCTGATCCCTAGAGTCTTGGCCAAGCAGCGCATACTCAAACTGTGGCGTAGGCCCGGGCGCGGGCGAGGGCGTAGTGGCCGGAACCCCCAGTCGATCGGTCGTGGCAATTACGGTGTTATTACACATGGTTGAGTTGGCCAATTGATCGTGTTTATAGCTAGAAAAGCATTTGGCGAATAAAAACTACAAGATATACATGTGTACATATAGGTATATACATATCATTAAAAAAAAAAAATATTTGACCATATATTAAAAAAATATCCTAGATTTGTATTACAGAAATGTACATATATGTATAAACGGAAGTTAAAAAAAAAAAACCGGGAGAGTCCAGAAAATAAATAACCGGTAAAATACTTCCGATTATATAGTTCAGGATTCCCCTAACAAAGAAGCACGAAGAGCAAAAGCAAACTCTGTATAAAACATGTAATAAAGCTCTAGTCGAGACTGCTCGATTAGGAGATCCCCTGAACCCTTCAAGCAGCTGATATTTCAATAACAATTCGGACACACACACATACACACACGGATACAACAAACACACGCACACACATACACATATAAATAAACACACGCACATACACAGGCGATTGCGCTTGGACTGCGCTGCAGTGTTGGCAATATTATATTATTTTTTCTTGAATAATTTAATTTCTGGACGTACGATCGTAAAGAAACTATGTGTATACCGAAGCATTTGATATACGTCTTTTACAAAGATGAGGGTGAGGAGGTGGATATAGGAGAGGGGTGCATTTTAACAAAAACTGAAATTGTATAAAATGCATCTTAATATACATTTTGAATTTGTAGACTCTAGCTTGAAAGACGTAGGAGATATAATTTTTTAAGTGATCTTCGATAAGGTTTTTTATCGATAACAAAATATCGGAATGAGTTATCGTTTTTTAGTGATAAACTCGATATGCGCGCTGTATATACGGACATTTAAAAAAAAGTTGAAGTCTCTAGCTCGTATATCTTCTAAAATCGACGCGTTCAAACAAACGGACGAACGGACGGACAGACAGACGGACAGGGCTAAATCGGCTCAGCTCGTCGCCCTGATCACGAATATACATATATACTTTGTGGGGTCTGCCACGCCTCCTTTTGCGTGTTACATACAGTTCAACAAAACCATTATACCCTGATTTCTCATTTTCATTCGGACAATCAAAAAAAAATCTAGCTCTTATATCTTCTGAAATCGACTTACAGAGGGACGACAGACAGACGGGTTCAGGGTATATTTCCCATATTTAGCGGCTTTTCACTCACCCCAGTTGATTGTAGCGTGGCTCCTCGAGGGGTAGCGTTAGAGCCAGACCCAGTAGCGTGTAAATGATAATGCTCAGTGCTAGTTCCGACATGCTCCCAACTGCCCTCTGACGGTTGCTCGTTTGTGGCTTGATGCTTTGTTTTTATAGCCACACCAATAGCAAAAGAGTTGATTCTGTTCTGGGTATTGAGTTTCAGTTGCGAGCTTCAAATTCGGTGTGCGATGCGGGTTGTAAATGAAGTATTATTTGATTCGAGAAATGATGTGCCCAGATAGTACTCTGCTGTTTTCCTATAGCATAAAATCAAGCTTATGTCACGTTTGGAGTGTCTTTATTATTAGACGTCAAATTATTTACATACATGTCGTTTGGTTCGAGGTTAAACAATATATATGTATATTGAAATATTATTATTCAAAAATATAGAAAAATTTGATGAGATGGATGGAATTAGATTAGGTTAAACTATATATATATGTATACTGAAATGATATTATTCAAAAATATAGAAAAAATTGATGAGATGGATTGAATTAGATTTTATTTATATCTATAATAAAACGTTCATTTGTTATAGGTAAACTCAAATCCTTAGATCAATGGCCGGATGAAGCCTTAATTTGGGGGCGCTTTGTTCACTTTTGTTCACTTCTTTTTTCGAGTAAACAAACTTGCATATTTCATAACATGTATATTTCTTATAAATGGCATCCTCATCATCGGCAAAATCATCAATATACTTTTACTTGCTACTTTTATTTTTCGTTTGCCTCGTAAAATCGGGGGCTATTCTACTTACTTGATAATCTAACCATACCAGATCCTTCGGAGGCTTCATTGATGATTTAATATTCATGCGAACTGTGCTGATATAAACGCAAACTCTCTTAAAGAAAAGTTAATAAAAATGTAACATTAAAAGTCTTTTACTCAACGTGCCATCCTTGCGCTCTCCAAGACATCTAAGACATCATACTCTTCTCTCGAATGAGCCTTGAGTGGGCGGTCATTGTCATGCTTAAATGTAAATATTAACAGGCTAAGAGCCAAATGAAAACTTTTAGATGGAAATTGCATTTGTAGTTGCGACAGTTTCTTGACTCGAATTGCATTTTATTAGAGGCTGACAATTGTTTGGTTAAGGAAACGACACTTACCAATGGTCACTTCCGGTCCACATAAAAGTAGAACGGAACGAGCAACATTTAATGCTGTCTCTGTCAGACGCATGCTCCATGCGTAGAGTAGCGTTGCCAACTCGAATTTCTATGTTATTATCAGTGAAATTGGCGACCTTTGCTAATGGTCTGCGGGTGGATGGAGGCTGGGGGTGGTTGGGTGGGGTGGCCCTTAACTGTTAATAAACACAGAAATACTTTCACTTTAACTTTCGTGCGTACTATGCGCGTGCTCTCTCGCTCGCAATGGCCTCTCTCTTTTTTCAGCTCTCTCCTCCTCGCTCATTCTTATTCACTCTCTCTCTCTCTGAGCAGCTGGTCACCAGCTCAGCTGTTGTTGTGGGCGACATTGCCATTTGCCTGTTGGCGTGCAAGCGTCTTGGCAATTTGCGCGCGCATTGACCAACACTGCCACACGCACACACAACACACATACGCAATGTTGTCCATGAGGCAGCAGCGGCTGCAAAGCTCGGCGCCTCGACTCAGTTCGTTTGGCTTTTGGCTCGGGCAAAGTTTTTGCAAAAGCCAGTAGACAATCTTTCCTCATTTCGTTAACACGCACAGACACGCAGCACAATAGCAAGAACTGGCTTCAAACCTTCAAACAACAATAACTTAAAGCCCTTTAATCTATCAAATGAACTAATGTTAAATTAATCATATCTATATATGTAACAATAAATATGTAAATTAACTTCTAGTGCTTAAAGAGCTTAAACTGTGCGTCTGTCTAACGGTCGTGTTGAATACCTAATCTCATTAAGAACGAAGCAATAACAATAACTAATAACGCAAAATAATTATATATATGTATGAATATATCTGTATATACTTAATAATGTTTCCTGCAGTGCGCGTCCTGTGCGTATCCTTGCTGTTCTTCTGCTAGCCACGAATCGAGAGTACGTACAATAAAAAAAATGTATCTCTTATCAGCGAGATATGCGCAAATAAGCTGATAAAAAGCTGTCAATTGTAGCGCAGGTCGAATTGCATGATTTTAGCCATGATTTTGCCTCGGCTCTGACACTGACTGTGAAATAGTTATTTTATGTCGGCAAAGCAATAGCGCTTTACCTTATGCACACCGAATACTCTTCCGTTTATCCTTCGGCTGTTGATTGAGTAATTGGATAGTATTTGCTTGTTACCCCAGAACGCTGACAGTTTCAACTAATAATGACATTATAATTGATCTCCTCCCTTGTCCGTCAGCTAAGCGGCAAGACATGCCATTGCTGAGCATAGCTCCATATTTTGGATAGTAGTTTCCAAAGAGAAGCGAATCTAATCAACTGAATATTTTGTATATATCATTTTAGTTGGTTTTTAATTATTCAAATATTGACATATTGGTATTGCAAAGCAATACCGATACATATAATATATATTGAGGGGTTTTCAACGGAATTGAGAGATTACATTACGTAAAATTTGAGAAGTGTTTCGTAGTTTTTCATAGTTTTTTTTAGTTTCCCTTACATTTTATGCTTGGTGCTTTTATTTTTAATTAAAGCAAATGCTTGGCCAAAGTCGAGTACGTAGACTGCGTGTTCAAGTAGCGTGTAAAGTAATTTACTCACCCAGCAAAACTTTTGTGGACGTTTAATTTTAAGCGCAAAATAAATAAACAATCGCAAAGGCACGACCAAACGCCAAAAAGTCCTTCAAAATAAGCTAAGTTGGGTTTCACTTCAGTTAGTTAGACGAAAAAAAAAAAGAAAAGAATATGTGAGAGAATAGAGAAAAACAATGGAAAATAGAAACTTTGCCATTACTTTCGCTTTTTACTGCCTCAGACTTCTGGTAGTGTTGTTGTTGTTGTCGTTGCTTAGGTTAGGTTAGGAAACACACACACAGCTAGATGGAGGGGTGGACTTGTATGTACGCCTCACTCTTAGGTGGGTCTAATACCTGTGTGTCGGTGTGGGTGCGGGTGCTTCCGTATGTGTGTGCTCATATGCAGGAGTCTAATCGTCCTTCAACCATATATTATAGGACAAAAGCTTACGAAAATATGACTAGTGTATCCATCTTCTATAAATCGTCGAATTCCCGCGAAATGATCGTGTGTCGAAAAATGTACATGTAAATGCAATTAAAAAAGGTTTTTTTTAATTTTCTCAAAATACAGTGGCGATTTTGAAGAAATGTTTTCATAAATTCTATATATTATTCTATAGTTATAATAACGAAAACATATAAAACTTTGTTTCATTTCGAGCTTCTTGTTTCTGATGCAAAGCAATGTAAATTCAACATACAATATGAAAAATGCTTGTTTATTTGTAAAAAATGTTTTTAAAATCATTCTCTTTTATTAAACCTAAGCTGAAAATTCGTTAAAATCCATTTTCTGAATATGAAATTAAAGTACACTTATCTGATAAAAAAATATTGTATGAGACAAACATCTTCAGTTTTCATACAATACAATTTTGAAGATTTCGATATTCACTATGATATTTAGGGGGTATACTATTTTCATTACATTGATTTATTTACTCGAAAAAGCTCTTAAATTGCTCTTAAATAAACTTTTATTATTTTGATTCAAGTTTGATATTTTAATAATGTTTTTTTCGTGTTTTCGAAATATTCATAATGTATTTCCATTCATCCATGCTGCAAAATAGCTGTATGTAGCTCATCTAAATTTAACCTTTGATTTTTATTATTATATTATTATTAATCCGGATGGATTTGTCCTAGACTTTCTTTAAGAGTCGACCATTCACTTGACGCCCAAACATTGCGTTATCTAATAAAAGAGTCAATGGTGCTATGTATTGAGTCTATAGGCGTCATGGTATGACAAGGAACTAAATAGGCGATTTTAATTGTTTTCAAAAAAGTTGAAATCTCTTTAAAATGTTCTAAGCCAGCAAGCAAACCTATGTTTTTATTTTGGTCACCGCAACTATCTCAATAATGGCTCAGACTTGATGTGTTTTTTTACTATCTAGATTAGGCAAATACTTTACAATAGCTGAGCATATTCCTTACAGCAACTATAGCAATTACATAATAGTTTCGCAATTATGCTTGCGAGTAGATGCACTAAAACTCAACGTATCACTAATTCGAGCTTTCGCAGCATCGTTTCATATCTGCTTTATCAAAAAATATTAAAACACCAAGGAATAACGGAAACAAAAGAAATCGAAAAAGAAATTCCCGTTTGAAGGAGTTAACTACACTTAGAAAAAAAAAATCTCAGATCGTTTTGTGATTACTGGAGTTGCAAACTGACAAAAAGTGTTAGCATTCCTCTTAAATTTTAAAATATAAAACTGGGTATTTCATTAAAATGTGTATTTTATAATCGATGAATATAAAAGTCTCTCTTTAAATAGCTTCTTCATCAAATCTTCTTCACTCCTCAAGTATTATAATTATTATTATACACTGTTTTTCCTAGATATTTTACTGTTTACCGGAATAATAGTACTATATAAATTCTATATCTAATGTTCACATATATCATATAATATTTTGCTGTCACAGCAAATATTTATCCATCATATAGCTATTTCAATAACTCTCTTATCTCATTATTTTTTCTAAAATAATTTTACAGCTCATTTGTGTCGTTTATTTTTTATACTTACTAGTCAGTAATCTGTGTAATATATAATAGACTATATACACACATACTTAAATACGTATTTGATATATATAAAGACTTTAGCAATAAATAGAGGTATTTTATATTATGTTCTTCACTGGTTCTTGTGTTTGTGAGGGCCAGAGGTGTACAGGCGTAACCATAAAAATGTAGCCCTGCTTGCTCCGAAGACGTAAATTGCTGTTTGCTGTTGCTCGTGGTTGTAATGAATATAAGACGAACGTTTCATTGCTCGTATTTTGTATTATGTTGTATTGTGTACACATGTACACACACACACACACTGGCACCCATATTCTCGCTCACAATTGCTTCAAATCTTGCCTCAGCTTTTTCTTCTCGCTGTCAACAGGAAACTTGTTGAGGCACCAATGCAAAAAAAAAAAAAAAAATAATAATAATAAA